TTCCCGGCTTCGCTGTGCGATTGGCACTTCTGATTGGTTTCAGCCATCCCCAACCTTAATGGATGGACTATGAAGGGGTCAGTCAAGTGGTTCAGGTTTTTCAGGAACAATCTCCACTCGCTGCTTCACAAAAGGTTGGCATCCTTTTCATTTATGAGTTAAATGAGCTGGTCAAGTCCAGGTCCAGCTTTAATTATAATTCTGAGATAAACCAAATACTGTAGCATTCTAAGAGCTCTTTAAAGCACAGGTTATCTTCCTCCAACAACACTACTTTAAACATCTTAGAAAAGCTATCTAAAGCTCTCTTCAGCCCTAGAACGGCCTCAAAAGTGAAAGGAATAAACATGCATGAAGCCCAAATATATGAACAACTACTACTAACGTCTCGGTCCCAAACAAGTTGGGGTCGGCTATATGAATCATGAATTCTCCATTTAAGCCCAAATATATGAACCCCAAGAAAATACATATCAGCTCAAGCTAATTAGTCAACTTTTTCGATTAGCTCATTTCTTCCTTCAATTTCATTTGGGGTGGGATGGAAAACCTTGAAATTCCTAAAATTGCACACATTCTTTCAACGGAGATCACATCAAACAGCCAAATAGTGTGAGAAAACTCAATTTTTTTATCAGATATTGTAACATAAAAAAACTAATCTTTTTAGTCAACAGTTACTAAATAAATCATCAGAAAGTGAAATAAGGTTTAGAAAAAAGCAAAAAAAAAAAAAAAATTGAATTCAATCTTTCCATGCAAAGCACATTAAACAGCCAAAAGGGTGTAAGAAAATCACATTTTCCCCAGATCTTGTCCAAAAAATAAACCAACTTTTTTATTCCACAGTTTCAAACTAAATAAAGAATCAGAAAGTAAAAATTACAGAAAAAATGGAAAATAAAATAAAATTGAAGGAACAAGAACCTGAAGATGGGTATTCTTCAAGACCCCAAGAAGGAAGAGGAGAAGAAGAATTTACAATGAGACTGTCATTTTCTGATGAAAAATCAATAAGACTATTTACTTCAAGATCCATTTTTTCACACTCTTCAGCTGACATTTACTTCAACAGATTCAGTGAAATAAAAGTAAAAAATCTATAGCTAAGAATAATGAGAGTATCGATTTGAAATTGGATTGTTCTTTGATAAAAGGGGTTCTGAGCAAAAGTGGCGATGATAGAATTGGAGCGGTAGAGCAAAAAGGGGGAATTTTATTTTTGAACTGCTAAGAGGCGGTTTTTCAAGAATTGGGAAATTATAAATGAAAATTGAAAATTTTGTTAGCCGTTTGGGCTTTAAATAAATAAATGGTATACTGATTTTGAATTATTGACTTGGGTTGGCCATGTGTACGAGTACAACTAAAGTGGAGTATACAATTTGATAATATAATTTATTTATTTATTACATTTCTTTTTATTCGAACTAATAAATTGAGCTTGGATCTTTTCTTTCTAACAACTAGACAGTAATTATTGTGATATTATTTGAAAAGTAACTATTTGCCGTAAGATTATCTTATTAGGACGAAGAAGTTAAATTACTTGAAAAGTTATATGTGTATTTTAAATGCATTAACAGTGCAAATATTTTTTTTACATTATTAGTGTAATTTAATTTGTTATTGATTACCATTGTATTCAAGATACTAAAATAATACTCTACTAATTATAAAGGTTTAAATGTAACTGCTTTTTAAATGTTTTTTATATAAATAATTTTTAGAGTAGAAGTTAAAACTCGCTAAACCTTTAAAGACAAGCAAACATAGAATCCGAAAATGCTATTTGTACAGCAGGTCCTGTACACTTTTAAAATTAAGAAAATGAATTTTTTGGATCTTTTATATGTAAAAGACAGATCATTTGTACATCATACCCCTTTACAATTTATAATAGGAAAAGGGACAAATATACCTCTATATTTCGAGATATTATCTACATTTAACCTCCTTTATATTATCAGGCCAAATTTATCCCTACCGTTATACTATCGGCCCGAATTTACCCCTACAATCAGCAAACTTTAATAAAAATACCCCTCAATCTATTATGTGACCCATAATCTCCGAAATCATTTTAATTAAGTTACTGATTCTTCTTCTTGGTCCACTATTTTGAAATAATTATCATTTACCTGCTTTCTGAATTGAAGAAAAAAATAAGAGAAAAAAATATTAAATAGTACAACCGTTAATAAATAAAACATAGTAAATTGAAAATCTAAATTAGGTAGCTTGTCTAAATTCTAAAATTATTTACAACATCTCAATTTTAATGAATTCGTTGCACCAACTGTATGGAGACTTTGCAAGTTCTTCGGAGACTTTACATTGTCGAATTCAACTTTGCTTTAATCAAATGCCTACACATATGCACTCTTAAGTTAGTCGATAGAACTTTATACTAACCAGACAAAATATATTGGAATATACATGTACATACATGATGATCAACTGTAGTAATACACAATAAATAGATCCACTGAATTCTATAGTGTGTAAATGGTTGAAAAATAAATAAAATTTTAAACCAATTCCAAACCCATTATTAAGAAGAGAAGTGGGTGCATTGGTAATTAAAAATATTTATGACTAATTTATATAGCCTAGTAACTTTAGCATTCACACTAATAGTAATTTCTGAAAATAGTGGAGCAAGAATAACAGCAAGTGATTTAAATAAAAGGAATTTGGAAGATTTTGGATTATTTAATAGATTAAGGGGTAATTTTTAAATGTTTGTTGATGATAGGGGTAATTTAGTCAGATAGTATCACGGTAGGGATAAATTTTGCCTGATAGTATAACGGAGGTTAAATGTAGATAATATTCAAAAGTAGAGGGATATAGTTGGCCCCTTTTCCATTTATAATTTAAGAAAATAACCTTTTTAGATATCTTATGTGTAAAAGAAAGATCTCTTACCTATAAAAGTAAATATTTCTAAAAAAAGAGGTAGAAACATAAAACTAAAAACAAATTTGTAAACAGACACAAAACCAATTGACCCGCTGATTTATATAGTGCGTTTAAATTTGATATTATAGTGTTCTAAATGGCAAAGGCATCGTCAGAATTTACATGTTAAACGAGTTATAGATTGCTGAAGACATGCGTATATATTAAGCAAAACTTTATTTAATACGCCAGATTTGTTAATAATAAAATGAAATCAAATGAGCTATTTTCATTTGAGAGTTAACAAATGAGCTATTTTCATTTGTTAACAAATTTAGTTTGGTTCATTAATTACCATTTACCAGATTGCGTTTATAGTTATTACAGAGTACCAAAATGGAAAAAACTTGTTAAACCTTGTGTCTATACTAAAAGAGTAAATGAATGAGATTTCTTTTATACATTATCTTTTTAACATTTAACCGTAAGTATAGTAGTAAGATTTACTATCACCTTAATCGTGACCATTGCTCCTGTAAAGTCCAAGTATTCTCCATGAGAAAATTCTCACGAGTATGTAGGTTATTTTAAAGAAAGTTAGGTTATTTTTTCCGAATTAAAAATTATTTTTTTATAAAGAAAAAAGGTCGACATAAACAGGGGCGAGGCCACCTTTTGCAAAAGGTGGTCATCTGACCACCCTTTGCCAAAATATTATAAAAACGTACATTGTGTATATAAGTAAAATATTGATTTTAGATGTATAAAACATATATTGAACACCCTTTGTCAGAAAATTTTATTTACTTCTTTCAGGTCTGAAATACCCTTGAAAATATTTCTGGTTTCGCCACTGGACATAAACAAGAAATCTGGTAATCCTTCTTTATTTGTACTTTCAAAAACAATATATGTTGCTTTATAATAGTATAATTTTACTTATAAATTTATACTTTGTATCAAAACTACTCGGTCAAATGAACCCAGTGCCCAAAGCCTTTTATGTGGGGCCTCTTTATGTGGTGCTTGAAATACCATGGAAGTTGACTTTTTTAAGGTAAGCTGACGATGTGTTCCAAGCATGATTTAATTTAAATAACACCATTTATGCCAATAACCAAGCTGCTAAGAGAAAAAACACTACTATATTCTAATAATGCAACGGAGAAATGATACTTTTTTGGAGCCATAGATTCGATATGAGATAACATTTCTTGGAGCCAAAGATTGAATGCGACACAATAAGTATCCCCCAAAATACGCTCTACTTGATACAAATTTCAGTGTCAATTACCTGCAATTTTCAGCAGCAATGACCAAGTATTTCGATTAATCACACCCTTGACTACTAAAAGAGGAAAACCAACAACAACTACTACCCAGTAAAATTCCACAAAGTGGGATCTGGGAAGGGTAATGTGTACGCAGACCTTACCCCTAGCCCGATAGGGCAGAGAAGTTGTTTCCGATAGACCCTCGGCTCAGAAAGACGAGAAAAAAAAACAAAAAAAGACAATTCATTAGTAACTCCTGTAGAAACCGTAATAGTAACAGAAGCATAACAACCAAAGATAAATGACATACAATAACAGTAACCAGTAACTAAGGCTCAGGGCTAAGATAAACAACAAGGATAGTGTGGATCCAACATAATCTGCAAGTCATCTAAGATCAACCCTAATCCAACCCCGCCTCACCCCGGTATGAAGTAAGAAAAGCTCTACTACCCCCTAACCTACAATCCTAATGCTTGACCTCCAAACCTTTCTATCAAGGGTCATGTCCTCAGAAATCTGCAGTCGTACCATGTCCTACCTGATCACCTTTCCCCAATACTTCTTAGGCCTCCCTCTACCTCTTCTCGTACCCACCACGGCCAACCGCTCACACCTCCTTACCGGAGGATCAAGGCTTCTCCGCACGTGCCCGAACCATCCGAGCCTCGCTTCCCGCATCTTGTCATCCACAGGGGCCACACCCACCTTCTTCCTAATATCTACATTCCTAACCTTGTCTATTACTTTAAATCTTTATAGCATCTTCTATACATCTCAACATTCAAAAATAAGAAGAAATTCGAACGGTACATCCATTACTCAACTGTCAAAACCAAAATATACTTTAAGAAGACTAGCTGCCAACATGTTTTGTATTTCTGAGTAGGAATACATAGATTCAACCAATGGATAGACATCTAATTCTCTTAGTCATCTTTCCCGGTTTACTTTCTACTATCCAAAACAGTTCTAAATGAGAAAAAAGGGGTCAGCAGTTAATTTCGACTATGTGCATCAAATTTTCATATTAACATAGCTACCAAGTTAACTATTTAATCAATACGGGAAAATCCTGCAAACACCTAATGACGAATTCATCTAACTTCAGTTTCAAACTCCATTCACTTCAAGAGACGCTGCATACTTCCTTTTACGCTTTGAGGTACAAGACGCTTTGCGTGGTGATGGAGAATATTGTAGGCGGTAACTGATGAGTGATGGACCAAAAATACTAAATTTCCCTGACTTGCTAAAAGCAGTTTCAGCATCAGCGCGCCTCTTGAAAACAACTTTCCCTCGTTTGCTCTTGTCAATAACTTCAGTCTCAGATTCACAAAGTGGACCGTACTGACTAAATATTCTGTTTAGATCTGCTATAGGAGGAATTGATTCTAGATCTGAAAAGTTAAGAACCAATGCAGTTGGGGAGTACTCAGAATTTCCATGCACAAGAACAGATAGATTTTCTCTTTCTGAATTCTCAAACGAGCCACCTACTTCTTGTTTATTGTTCAAGCTTGGACTCAGGCCTGGAGAAGTATCCCATTTAGCATTAGGAAAATCCTCTTGATTTTGGACCTCAAATAACACCTGATCCTCAGGGTAGCATTGAATAATCCTGTCAGTCCAATAGGAGTCTTCAATACCTTCTATTAACAATGTTTCAGGAGAGGCCGAGTTGGATGATTTCTTCTCTACATGCTTTTCTACCATATTTGTGTGGTCTCTTGACTCAGTAGTTTCCAAGCTAGTCATATTTCTGTAATCACAGAACAGACCAGCTAGTGATAACAAAATGCTATACCCATTCATGGGATCCCTGGCAGCCAAATAGAGCTTTGAGAGCATCTCTATTGGAGGAGGGAACTCTTTTGGAATCAACCGTTCTTCAGATTTCACGGGAGCAGGTACTGAATCTCCAAAACCAACATTTCTCGACTTTTCACTACGCTTACCAATTCTTCTTTGGGAACTTCCATCAGTAGACTTGAGAATTTTGTCTGCAGCTTTAGGTGGTGAAGACATCTTATTACCACTGCTTTGTAACACTACCTTTTTCCTTCTTTTTGCCTTGGAATCACTAGGCAAAGAGTCAAATGCTAGAATTCTCTTCTCAAAAGACATAGACTTCCACTCCCGCCCAGCTCTCCCTCTAGATTTCTTCTGATTATTTGATATGCCTGAACTGCTCCCATATATCAAGATGGACATTGATTTTTCTTTTCCACCATGGTGCTCGTCAACCCCCGAGTGTCGACGACGCTTTGTAGAGGAAGTACCTTGGAGATCTGAATTTTCCTCTGAAGCCACTCCTGCCACATCAATAGCATCTTTCTCCCCATGCAGTGGTTCAACATCATTATCATTCTCCAAATCACTATATTCTTCTATTACTGGGAGCTCGTAATAACCCTTCCAGCGATTAAAGGCTGCCAATTGAGCTTTTGCCAATATAAATGACAATCTATGAATCCTAGAACGTGGGGCTGCAGCTGCTGACTTCAGTGATCTAACAAGCTCGGCAGGGTTAAATGAGGTTTCATCTGAAAAGTAGTCACCTCCAACTCTCATGCTTGATTCTGCCCTGATACCAGCATTGATAACAATCTGGGATTTCATTTTTGCTCGGGTCTCCTCCTGCAAACATGGGCAGGCCAGCCCAAACTGAATCCGTTGAGAGACTTCATCTAGAGCACGGTCCACGGCATGAGAAAAGCGTTCTGAGTTGCTCTGTTTCTCCATTTGAGAGAAATACATCCTAAATGGCTTAATGCGAGATGCTTCATTCCATGCAAATGTCTGGTCACCAAAATATGCTATCAGATAGCTGTCCTTTTTTAAGTATTTCATTGCTCTGTCTGATGCAGCAGAAGGCTCAAATATCTGCCCAGGCCACCAAGGATGACTCCTCACCTTACCCCAAACTAAATCAGACACATAAAATTTACCTTCCTCTTCCATTCTGTCCTCATCCCCTCGTCTTTCGGGAACAAGAGCATCAGGCCGAACACCTATGCCATCTTCATTTTTCAACTCAGCTTCTATCAGTTGTTCTTCTTTTAATCCATCTTCATTCCCTTTCATATCCACCCCTTTAAAGTCACTATTAACTACTATACCATCAGGAACAAATTCATTCTTCCCACCTAATACGTCTTGCATGAAATTTCCTTCGACTACATTCCTGTTTCGGGCAAGGTGTGAAAACCCCCCTTGAGCATCACCCACATGGTTTTCGACAAACGACACACTTCTCAGGTCTTCGAATTGATCAAATTTTTGCCCTCTGCTCTCGTTCACACCAAGATCAGTAAAAGGTTCAACATCAACCTTATCATTTCCTAAAAACCCCATTTGACCATCGAGATCCCCCGAATCCAAATCAATTTCCACATCTAAATCTTCCATTTGCACTCTTAAACCCTCACCAGCGTCATTCCCTTCTCCAAAAACCCTAATCCCATCAACAACAGATTCACCAACTAAATGCTGATTACTTCGATTCTCAATTAGGGTTTCATTTCCTAACTGACCAACACTAACAACATTAATAGCCTCGTTTTTCACCTCAACATTAACAACTCCGGAATTTAGGTCAGCAGGATCGTATTTTGCCGACATGAAGAAACCCTAATCAATACATAACAACATAATTATACACATGCATGCATCGGGGGAAAAATCTTAAAGGAAATGAAAAAAAAAAAAAAAAAAAAAAAAAAAAAAAAAAAAAAAAAAAAAAAAAAAAAAAAAAAAAAAAAAAAAAAAGCAAAACAATAACTACATTGATTAAAGCTGTTCAATTCAAATTTAACACATGCAAAGAGATTTGTAGTGTTTACCTGGCGTAGATGCTTCTTCTGAAAGCTATGAAACCTCTGAATATTAATTTTCCTTTAGATGGAGAAATGGATATATAGTGAGAGAAACTTCCACAAAAATATGAGTGTAAATTTTGTTTTTATTTCAGTGAATCCTTTTAATTTTTTAATTTTAGACTGTATATATTTTTGGGGTTGGGGACTGGGATAAAAAGATGTAAAAGGGCTGCCGTTGAGTTGTTTGAAATAACACGTGTCACTACGATGTCGTTTTTCGGTATGACATGCAAAAAACAATCAAGTTATTTTTGAGTAAATCCGAAAAAATTCACTATATTGTTTGAAGCTACCTTAATTGTTAGTGGGCGTTTGGACATAAGAATTGTAAAATTTTAAAAAAAGTAAATTTTTTTAAGTGAAAATAGTATTTAAAAATTAGAGTTGTGTTTGGACATGAATAAAATTTGAGTAAAAATTTGAAAAGCAGTTTTTTTGGAGTTTTTAAATTTTTGAAAAAATCAAAAATTCATTTTCAAGTGAAAATTAAAAATTGTATGGCCAAATATTGATTTCGAGGAAAAAGTGAAAAAATTTCGAGAAAAAAATGAAGAAATTCTTATGTCCAAACTGGCTCTTATTTTCGTAAGGCTAAATGGCCTAATTGACTCTAAATTTGCACCGACGTTTAAAATCAGCTTATAAACTGTTTAATTTTTTCATTGTAATACAGATAGTTTATACTGGAAATAGTTGAATACCTAAAGACCCCCCACCCCAAAAAAAAAAAAAACTTGGCACGTTTAATTTAGGTCTCCTTACACTTTACTTAGTCCTAATTATCCCCTTATACTTGGTTTTTTCAGTCTTTACCCCCTCAAATGGCCACCTGGTAGAGTAAGTGATTTCACATGTTCTTTGACGCGTGAGAATGAAAAATAACAGCCACATTTATTGTTCAAATGGGAGAGTTCATATTAAAATACCATTCCCTTACTTTTTAACCATTTCAACGGCCATTTCTTTATATTCTTCAATATAATTTCTTTCATCCTCCACTAAAGTACCGAGTTTTCTACTTTTCTCATTTTTCTTTGTTCCATTTCTTTCTTTATTAGATACTTTTTAGTCTTATTTATTGATTGCCTATGTTAGTGGGTTACTATTATTCATATAGAGAGTTACACTGATGAATAGATTGAAAAATTTACTTTCGAGAGCAAGAAACTCAGATTTTTTTTACTCCCTAAACCCAAACAAAAGTCAACAGAGATGGGTCACAAGTACAAGTTTGGAAAATAATATGAGGAAAGCCCTAAAATTTCTCTAACTGATATAAGAGAGTGTCTCCTTTGTGACTTAGAAACTGAGAAAATATTGATGCTTTGTAATTTTTAATTTCGAATTTTTTTTTGTCCACATCAGCTATTATTCCAATATGGTAGGCGTGCGATTACACCCTTATAAGTTGATATGGATTAAGGAGATAGATATTATGAAAAACTAAGTATAAGGGGGTAACTAGGACTAGGTAAAGTTTAAGGGGAACTTGGATAAAGCACGCCGAGTTAGAAGGGTTTTTAGGTATTCTGTCTATTTTTTATTAATTAAGAAAATAAAAAAATATTTTATTCGTGGGAAAAAAATTATTATTTTCTGTCAGTTTATTAATATTGTTTGTGTCTTGTAAAATAAACTTGTGAATAGCTTTTCAGAAAAAAAGTTTCTGGACAATACTTAAACCTTTGAGGGTTATGTGTGATTGCTGAAGCTAAAAGGAAAATATGATAACTTGTGAAATTGAAGAACTTCTACAAGATAATTTCTCCTAATATTTAGTTAGGTATATACAATCGACACTAATAATTTCAAGAAACATATTTTTATTTATAACTCAAATATAATATTTTAATATAATATTTATATGAGATTTTAAAAAAAATTATGTATTAAAATAGTGTACACGAGCAATGCATACTTCAAGACATCTAATATATAATGTTAGTAATAGTTTTCAAGTTTTGAGGTAATTGTTTTAAACTTTCCAATTAGTACTATAAAAATTCAATATAACTTTTAGTTTTATATATTTTCTCATGATTTCCGCACTCGTACATATTACTAATTTTACTATAGTTAGTATATACCTAGCTTTTGTTGACAAAAAAAGAAAAGAAAAACTCAATACCAAGTAAATTCTAGCGGACTTTTAAACCTATAATTCTACTTTTTCCCCTAACATATAAATTTACGACAGAATAGCTTGAGAGAAAATTGTATTAGTTTGGTTTTTGTCGTCCCGGTCCCTCTACTTCACAAAGTTTCAATCGGATACTTGAACGCGATCAAAACATAAATTTTAAACACCTCTACTGCTCACTCGCTTGACATGAAAGACATATCATATCCACCTCAGCTAAATTAATGTCACATCATTATTTTTTACAAAATATTATTTATTTATAAAAATTCCAAATCCATCTCCTTTTTTACAAAAAATGAAATCCCAAACAACCCTCTCTCTTCTACTATTCCATTTCTCAATATTCTACCCGCCATCACCGCACATCACCACCCCTTCTTCCTTCGTCTGCAAATCCATAACCAAACTCACGTTTAGTTACAATTTTCAATCAGCCTCGTTTTCCCCGCTATGTCACTGTTACCGGTGAATCTCTCCAAAACCATCAATACACTCCTCTTTTTTTTAATTTTACTATCACTTCTCAAAATCCAAGCAGTCCCTTTGTCTACCGCATGTTTAGCAGAATACTACAGAAAGTACAATGCTTAACCACCACAATTTAAAACAACTTTAAAAAAAATTGGAAAAATCAAAGAAAGAAAAAATAAAACCAGATGAAAATTATGAGATTCTTTTACCGGCAGTAGCACCTTCACTGACACCATTGTCGAAATCGAGTTTTAGAAGGGGAACTAAAATTTAAGCTATTGGTGTTGGACCCGACCTTTGTTCCAGCTCGTCACTGCTTTCAATCTAAGGTTAGGTTTGTTACTTATTGAGTACATGGGGTTGGTAGTACTCATACTACATTTCTGCACCTTGCGTGCATATATTTGTAATGACCCAAAGGGTCATCTTCTGTTTTAGAATTCAAATCCGTATTCCGAGGCCTTAAAAACCTCATTTTATCTCTTCTCAATTTGTGTGCCCAGTCCGAACGTGATTCCGGAAAGCCCTTATTTGGAAAATTTATGAAATAATAATTTTTGACCTAAAAAAATTTGTTAACTTCGATCAACGTTTTGGGTAAACAGACCCGGACTTGTATTTTGACGATCTCGGTAGGTCCGTAATAAAATATGGGACCTCGGCATATTCTCGGAATCGAATTCCGAGGTTCCAAACCCGAGAAATGAATTTTTGATGAAAATTGTAAGACTGAAAATCTAAGGAATTAAAGAAATTGATTAATGTTTGATCTCGTTGGTATGGGACCCGTATTTTGGTTTCAGATCCGGTGCGAATTTAATATAATATTTAAGTTATATCTGTGAAATTTGATAAAAACGGAGTTTATTTGACGTGATTCGGACCTTTGGTTGAGAAAATAGAAGTTTTGAAAAGGTTGCATTTACGGAAGTCCATTGTTCGCATTTGCAACTGGGACTTCGCATGTACGAAGGCAGCAGAAATACGAGAGGTTCGCATTTGCGAAGGCAGCAAAAATGCGAGAGGTTCGCATTTGCGATACCTTTCTCGCATTTGCGAGCTTCGCATAGCTCGCAAATGCGAAGCTTAGGTCGCAAATGCGACATCTGCAACTGATAACTTTGGAATTAGAATGGATTTTTCATTCATTCTCCCATTTTTCAAAACCTAAACTTCAATAGGCGATTTTTCAAAGGCTGGTTCTTCCCAAATTATAGATATGAGTGGATTGGAGGTGGAATCGAGAGATAAAGCGGTAATTGAGCTTTGAATTACCCATTGGATCGAGGTAAGTATTTGGTCTAACTTTGACTCGAGGGATTAGGGATCCCAGACTTAATTGCTATGTGAAATTCCATGTGTGTGGCGTATAGGTGTGGTGGGGGTACCTATGCGCCGCCAAATTATTTGTTTAGCCTGTTCCCTTTCCCATTTCTAATATATTGTCTTCCTGTCTTAATTGTTACATGCTTATTGATGCTTCCATGTCTAATTGCTTCTTGTTAGATGTTGTTTTCTTTATTGAAGGTATTAATTATTTCGTAGTTTTATTTTATTACATTATTGGTTTAAGTTGGTTTATTGGTGTTTCATGATACATTTTGGTTGGTCTCGCTGTGTAGTAACAATTGATGAGAATTCATGATTTTATATTCTTCTGTTGACTTGGTTTGAGGTTTAAATATTGTGGAGGGTTTTTGAGCTAAACTATGAAATTTCTACTTTTATTGTGTTAGTGGTACTAATATGGTGGGATCGGGTTGCACGCTGCAACAGGAGGAATAAGGGTGAAATGTGATTTCTCTTGTGGGATCGGGCTGCGCGCCGCAACAAAGAGTAATAAGGGTGGACAGGTGGGATCGGGTTGCACGCTGCAACAAGAGGAATAAGGGTGATATATTGAGGAGTAATAAGGGTGGACTGGTGGGATCAGATTGCACGTCGCAACAAGGAGTAGTAAGGGTGAATGTTCATATTGTTATTGATTATATGGTGGGATCGGGATGCGCGCCGCATCATTTTATTATTTATGTATTCTTTCTCTGTTGTGATTTTATCCTGTAGCATTGTAACTCTCTTAAGGATTGGTTGTAGCTGAGTACTAGCAAGACAATTGAATTCTGTATTTATTTTACTGCAAGTTACTATTTTATTTCGTCCTGTACTTCCTTTTTCTTTATTATAAACTGTATGCAGGTTATATTATAAATGTTTCGCCTTAACCTCGTCACTACCTCGTCGAGGTTAGGCTCGTCACTTATAAGTACATGGGGTCGGTTGTACTGATACTACACTCTGCTCTTTCTGTGCAGATTTAGGAGCTGGTAGTGGCTGATCGAGAGGTCGATTGCAGGCATTCATCTAGGAGACTCAAGGTAGTCCTGCTGGCATCTGCAGGCCCTGGCGTCCCCTCCTATGTTTCTATTTTTCTTTTTTCTTTTCTTTTGAGACATATGTAATTCTTTTGTAGTATGTTCGTGGA